GGTAACGGCTATTTTGGGGAGAAGGCAACGCGTCAAAGTTATGACGCGGAAGTTGTCACGCCGGGATGAAGCCGCATGGGGGCGGTGTTTAACGCCCAGCCCCTGGGCGTGAAAATGGGCATAACGCCGGTCGGCGTTACGCGTATACCCAGTGCTCTTAGTTGGAGACCTTAGTGGCTAGTCAAGAAATTCAACTAGTAGTGGGCAGTGAGCAGTCCAGAATTTAGGTATGGGAAATTTATTACATAAACCTAAGGTCCATGGTGAACTTTATATATGTTAAACAAATATTTTCCACGGTTGAAATTAGCATTTTTAAAATTAAAAAAATACTACCTACATCCTAAAATTATCTCCTCAGTCACTATTCACATGGTCAAATTTTAATCACTTTATTTACCTATTTTTGTTAGCTATTTGATAAAATATTATAGTAATGTCACCTCTTATTTTGTAGAACTTTTGATGTAGTTTTAAAATATATAATTTTTATTTTTTAATTTTACACCATTAATAAAAAAAGTTGAATCGGAAATAATTTTTGTCAAACCTCGTAAACTGAACTAGGAAGATCATTGTAGGACGGATGAAGTATGTAAGAAGGTCCATGTGGACTTTAGGTCCACCATAGAACTTCTCTTATGTATCCACGGACAACGCCTCCAAATTCTTTTCTGATAGGCAATATAAAATTACAGGTAATAATTTTAATTCTAATATTTATTGAATTTGAAATTTTTAATAGGTAATGTAAAATTTTATTTTATAAATAATTACTTACTTATATGCAATGAGACACACTTTAATTGAGTTCCAATATACATAACCTTAGGCTCAAAAATTAGTTGGGGGTCATCGACCCGTACTTCTAAAGGGTAGATCCGCCATTGGGAATCTTAGGAATTACGTAGGGAAGGAAAACAAAATTCTTTCCTCACCAAACTGGAAAGCATTTGTTACCTCTTCTTAGAGCACTGGCAACGGTGTACCATTTTAGCCGCCACGCTTCTAGATCAGATCTGCCTTGCACCAACTCAGCAATTGTCTCGCGTTCCTTGTGCGTTCTCCCACGGTAAGTGAGGTAGCCTCAAGGCTGCCATGCTCTATTTTTTATTTTCTAAATTATGTTAAAAATTTAAAAAATGACTGTACAGTTTTTAATTGGTTAAATTATGCCACATCAGCGTGTGACATTCCATTTCTTTACTTGCCATTGTGAATGCTCTAAGTTTTATTTTTTTTCTCATTTCTTTTCCTTGTACCTTTTTTTGTCTAACCAAACATATTTTTTTCCCATACCGTTTCTTTGTCTTTCGAATTCTTTGAAACCAAACTTACATTGTGGTTGGTTTGTGGAATTCAAAAAGAAAGGAAAGACGTTTTCTCTCATCTTCCTCACCAAAACATAAGGAAAATCATTTTCTATTAGGATGTCAACGGGTCGGGTTTTGGTTTGTGTACTCCGTGGGTGCGCCCATGGGGATGGGTCGAGAGCTGGCCCTCTCCCCACTCCCGTACGTAGAAACCTATGCGGTGTCAAGCGGCACCAAGTATTGCGAGTATCATCGCAACAACACTCATAACACTAAGGAATGCTTCACTCTTCAGAAGGAGATGCAGCGACTCATTGCACGAGGACCGGCTCCGCGAGGCGACGGAGCAGCCCCTTCCCGGGGTCCGCCGGAAGGAAGAACATGGAGAAAGCCGACCGAGCCGGTCGCCGTGGCCACACAAACAAGGAACCCCGAGAAGAGGCACATTGCGCGAGAGAGCGATGATCTAGACGAGGACGAAGCTCAAGGATATCCGGTGGGATTTATCCACGGAGGAAACATTGGTGGGGACTCCGTCGCTCAAATCAAGAGGTAGAAGCACATGGCCTTCATCGCCAAAGTCCATCAGGCACCGGCGCCCAAGCTCGGAAGACGAGATCAATCCAATTCACGGAGAAGGATCTTCCGAACACGCGGAGCCCCCACCGGGATGCCTTAGTCGTGAAGATAGAGATTAACGATGCCATAGTGCACCGCACCTTGGTGGACACTGGAAGCTCAGTCAACATAATGTATGAGAAAACCTTCCAAGACCTCGGCTTGAACCGCAAGGACTTAAGGCCCGTGCGCACTCCCCTCTCTGGGTTCACAGGGGACTCCATCGAGGCCGAAGGAATCATCACTGTACCCGTGATAGTAGGGGATGGTGCGCACAAGGACAAGTTGAAGATGGAGTTCATGGTTGTAAGCATCAGTTGCGCGCACAACATGATCCTTGGACGGCCCGGCCTTGAGGACTTGGAATGTGTGATCTCCCCATACTACTTGTGTATGAAGTTCCCCACTCCTTCGGGAATCGGGGTGGCGAGGGGAGACCAGAAGTTAGCTCGATCGTGCTACGTCCGAATCACGAAGAAATTGCCAAGGGATGAAACGTTGGTCGTGCACGCACAGGAGGAAATGCGGAAGCTGGAAGCACGACCAAAGGCCGAGCCCGCCGAGGAGGTCGAGGAGGTGCCGCTCGATCCTCGGACACCCGAACGGAAGGTGAAGGTCGGGGCGAGCCTAACTGGGAGCCAGTGGAAGCGCTTGGTGGACGTGCTCTCTGCCTACCGCGTGATCTTTGCGTGGGGCCCCAGGGACATGCCGGGGGTGGATCATAAGGTCATATGTCACCGCTTGGCAGTCAATCTGGAGGCTAGGCCGGTGAAGCAGAAGAAGCGGTTCCTCTCGTCCGAGCGAAGGGAGTTTGTCTCCAAGGAAGTTGCCACCCTCTAGAGCATTGCGCATATCAGAGAGCTCAAGTACCCGGAATGGATGGCCAACGTGGTGTTGGCCTCAAAGGGAAACACGTGGAGGATGTGCGTGGACTACACCGATCTAAACAAGGCATGCCCCATGGATCCGTTCCCACTCCCGAACATCGACCAGCTGGTGGACGAGACGGCGGGCTGCAAGCTCATGAGTTTCATGGATGCCTTCAGCGGGTACAACCAAATCCGAATGCACCTTGAGGACGAAGAGAAGACGTCTTTCACTACCCCCGCTGGAGTATATTGTTACAAGGTGAGTCCTTTTGGACTCAAGAACGCCGGGGCAACCTACGCTAGGATGGTGAGCAAGCTCTTCGCGCCCATCCTCGGGAAGAGCATGGAAGCTTACGTCGATGACATGATTGTGAAGAGCAAACAAGAGACCACCCATGCGGAGGACTTAGAAGGAGTTTTTAAGATTATGGAAAAGTACAACCTTTGGCTGAACCTGAAAAAGTGCATGTTCGGAGTCCAAGGCGGTAAGTTCTTGGGACACATGGTGAGCAAGCGCGGTATCGAGCCCAACCCCGAGAAGGTACGCGCTATCCTTGACATGGAGGCTTTGCGAAATGTCAAGGAGGTGCAGCGCTTGACCGGAAAGTTGGCAGCGCTTAGCCGTTTCCTCTCCAAAGTGGCAGATTGAGCCGCTCCCTTCTTCCAAGCCATGAAAAAGTCTCGAGGATTCGTATGGACGGAAGATTGCCAGCAATCCTTTGAATCCCTGAAATCTTATCTCCTTTCTCCACCGGTCCTTGCCAAGCCCGAGCCCAGAGAGACCTTGTATCTTTATTTGGGAGTGTCGCCCAAAGCACTAAGCTCGGTCCTGGTCCGAGAAGAAGGCGGAGCTCAGCACCCAGTGTACTACATGGCGAAGACGCTGAGGGGTGCCGAGCTCAGGTACTCAGTGGCCGAAAAGACGGTCCTAGCCGTAGTGTCAACTGTGTAGCGGTTGACGCCCTACTTCCAAGCTCACCCGGTCCAGGTGCTCTCCTAACAACCCATAGGTGCACTGCTCAGGAGTCCGAACGCGCCCTCTCGCATGTCCAAGTGGGCGGTGTACCTTGGAGCCTTCCAGATCGAATTCAAGCCAAGGCCGGCGATCAAGAGACAAGCGCTGGCCGACTTTGTGGTAGAATGCACCGCTCGAGAAGAGTCGAGGCCGGAACTTGAAACCGATGATTGGTGGACAGTTTATACCGACGGCTCCTCCGCCGCCAAAATTTTGGGGGGTGGAGTGGTAGTCATCGCTCCCGAAGGCTTCAGAGCATATTACTCAATCCGATGCGGCTTCAAGGCATCGAATAATGAGGCGGAATATGAAGCACTCTTGTGCGGGCTACGCTTAGCAGCTGGGATGAACGCGACAAAGTTAAGGATAAAGTGTGATTCAAAGTTGGTGGTTGGCCACGTCTCGGGAGAGTTCGAGGCGAAGGACGAAAGAATGAAGAAATACAGAGATACAGCTTTAGAACTCCTTAAAAGCTTCACCGTGTATAGTGTCAAGCAGATCCCTCAGGCGGAGAATGCCGAGGCAGATATCCTGTCGAAGCTGAGCTCAGACACGCCCGGGCACATCAGGCGGATGGCAAACATGGAAGAGCTGTCCGAGCCGAGCATCCATGCCTTCCCCGTGGAAATGATCTGCGCTCGGCCCGAAGATTGGATGGACGACATAGTTGCCTTCCTAAAATATGGCACCCTCCCGGACGATGCAATGACGGCCAGGTTGGTCCGGACAAGGGCACCGGGGTATACATTGGAAGGCGAGAAGTTATACAAGCGAGCATACAAAGGGACTCTACTCAAGTGCCTTCGACCAACTGAAGCAAAACAAGTCATGGGGGAGGTGCACGCCGGGATCTGCTCCGCCCACCAGGGGGATTACGCGGTGTCAAGGAAGATAACCCTCCAAGTGTATTTTTGGCCAACAATTGTTAAGGATTGCGCGGAGTTTGTAAAGAAATGTAAGGTGTGCCAAGAATTCCAGAAGGTATGGGGAGGCCTTCCACAAACTATACCCCCATCAGCACGGCTATCCCGTTCGCGCGGTGGGGAGTAGACCTTGTGGGCAAACTTCCTAGGGGCGAACTTACAAGGTACGTCATTGTAGCCATCAACTACTTCACCAAGTGCGTGGAAGCAGCCCCATTGGCAAGCATCACCGGAGCTCAGTGCTAGAAGTTTCTTGCAAAGCATGTCATCTGCCGCTTCGGCGTGCCTGAACACATAATCATAGACAATGGGACACAATTCGAGTCCAAGCCCTTCAACGACTTTCTTGAAAGCTGGGGGATAAAGCACAGCTATGCTTCGGTTGGATACCCTCAGACGAACGGAAAGGTTGAGAATGTCAACCGAACGATAGTCGACGGGCTGAAGCGGAAGTTGGAGGCCTGCAGAGGAGAGTGGGCAGAGGAGTTGCCTTATATCCTATGGACCTACCGGACTACGCCTAGGAGGGCAACCGGGGAAACCCCGTTCGCCTTGTGCTACGGATTCGAGGCGAGGGCCCCTCCAGAGATCTCCATCGCAACTCACCGAGAGGAGGTCTTCGACCCTGAGCGTAACGAAGAAGCCCGGGAAACCGAGCTCCATCTCGTACACAAGAGGCGAGAAGCGGCCTTCATACGGGCAGAGAATTACCGAAGGAAGGTGAAGAGCTACCATGACGGGCACGTGCGCGCACGGGGGTTCATCGAAGGAGACTGGGTGTTGCGCAAGAGGTCCGTAAGCCGCCCCCTAGAAGGTGGAAAATTTGCCAAGAATTATGAAGGCCCTTACATCATCAAAGAAGTGGTAGGCCCCTCGGCGTTTCGCCTGCAGACGCCAAGCGGAGGGGAGGTGCCCAGGACTTGGAATGCCGAGAACTTGGTTAAGTTTTATCAATAGATTTCGAATGTACACGGCCCCCAAATAGGGGAACCCGTAAACCTCTTGATTGAATTTAATGAAATGGATTTTTTGCGAACAAGGTCTTAACATTCGCGCTCGGTACCCATCCTTAGGAGAAGAGTCGAGCGCAGACCATACCCGGATGTTCTTCCCGGATGAAGGTCAAACATCCGTGCTCGGCATTCCTCCTTCGGAGAAGAGCTGAGCGCAGACCATACCCGGACGTTCTTCCCGGATAAAGGTCAAACGTCCGAACATCCGTGCTCGGCACTCCGCCTCAGGAGAAGAGCCGAGCGCAGACCATTCCCGGATGTTCTTCCCGGACGAAGGTCAAACATCCGTGCTCGGCACTCCTCCTCAGGAGAATAGCCGAGCGCAGACCATACCCGGACGTTCTTCCGAGACAAAGGTCAAACGTCTGTGCTCGGCACGCCCCCTCAGGAGGGAGACCGAGCACAACCCTTCAGGCTAAAGGCTAAAGGCGAAAACAAGACTAAATAAAATCCAAATTTAATTCATCCCGAAAAACGGGCAAGTACATGGCACAAACGACTTACAATAATTAAACACCTTACAACAACTAAAGTACGAGTAAACTTCAGTGCATGCCACAATTCCACCCCCGCTCGCATGGGCAAGTGGGGGGGGGGGGTAGGAGGGTGGAGAAGGAGCCCTACTGACGACAGAATGCCCGATAGACTCGTCATAGCTAGGCAAGCTTGTGTCTTCAAGGGGCAGCGGCTCGGGTGGTGAGACGCCACGGAGCTTTCGCCCGGCTCCGCCGCTAGAGGGGCGGGAGGATGACGTCCTCGGCCCCCACGGTTGGGAGCAACCGGTGGGGCGATGGCCTCGCGGCGAGCTGGTGGAGAGGGACTCTTCGTGTCCTCCTCGGACGAGTAGTAGATGAACCCCGAGATCTCAGTGTCAGGATCGGGGTGCACCGACTCGGACTTAGAGTCAGAGTCCCAAGAGTCCCGCTTCGTGGTCGGGGGAGTCGTGTAACACCCTAATCCGTCCAGGTCAGCAGCCCCATTCGGACTAAAGTATTTAACTTGGTAATCGTAAAATTTAAAACTTTTCAAACACACTTTATTAATCTCAATAATATTTTTCATAACATATACAATACGGAGTATTTAACAATATTGCGGAAGCGAATTTAATATTGACATATCATAAATCATTTCAAAACTTTTCACATCCATCCCGACAATCTCGCCCCATCTGCCGCCAGGATCACATTAATCTTTCTGTTTACCTGCGTGTAGCAAATAAAACATACTACACGCTCAGCGTTGAAGCTGAGTAAGCATATCTAATGCATCGAACATCCATATAAATTGAATCTCAATTCATAATTAACCATTTGATATCATGCACACAATACATATTTCAAGCATACATTATTCATGATATTCACAATATTTTATTTTAAGTCATTTCATGATATATTCAATATTAAAT